CACTCTGGAGAATAAATTCATGGATAAATGTGCTGATTCACAGGAAGCTCAAGGAAAGCTATATCAGGTGTGCTCACAATAAGTGAAGGTTTAAATTAAAAATATACCACAAGTAAAAACATATTGTCCTCACTCCTTACCCCAAATTATCCTGCCTCACTCTAAACACACTTATGCCATTGTTCTTGCTACTTTTTGAAGCAGTTCTGGAAGTTCCCCTTTGTGCATGTATTTTTTTTTTTTTTTTTTTTTTTGGGTTTTTCTCCGGTACCGGGAACCGAACTCAAGACCTTGCGCTTGCCAGGCAAACGCTTTTGCCGCTTAGCTAAATCCCCGGCCCCTGTGAGTGTATTTATAAGTTCTGATAAGAAACTCGGTGTTGGCATCCCCCGTTGCCATGCTCTGGAAAGGCGGACTTTTGAAACATTACGGTGTGTTCTTGTGCACTTTATTCACTGGATCTCACACCATCCAAGCTGTGACTCTTCTCCAAAGACAAAAAAAGGGCAAATATTTTGAATCAATTTCAGGACACTGAGGCAACCACACCGGTGTCTCTAAAGACTCTTGAAAGATACCTTCTAGAACTGTCACAGGAAGGGGCAAAAATGGTGGGATAAGTGTGTTTGAGGTGAGTGGAGTAGTCTGAGGTGGATTAATAGTAATTTGTCTTTCATGGTAATAAGTTTTTTTTTTTAATTTAGCTTTCACTGTATTTTTTATCATATCTTGTATGCCTATAGTTCTATATTTTGGGGACATGGCCCTCTGAAAACACTCAGAAAAATGGAATAGATTACACACGGGGCTTTCCACATCCTTAATAACTATTATAGATCTATCTAATACGAATCAGTTGTTAACATTTGAATTCTTTGTCTTTTCCTTTTCTATGAAGAAATAGAAAGTCTTTTGAAAACTTACAGTGTGTTATAAGGTAAAACATCCTCAACTTTCTCTCCATGAATGTTAATTTCTGTGCTTATCCCAGCTGCCTCAATATACAGCTATCCAAAGAGAAGCAATAATCCTTTACCCAAGCGCATAGTGTGTGACTTGTAATCTCTTCATTTCCTCGCAGAGTTCCTCTAAATTCTCACCTTCTCTGAAGAAGGAGCTGTGTCGTTAAAGTCTCCAAAACACCACAGGTTCGCTTAAGTTTAATAATGCTCTTCCAGTGCTGCCCCCGCTACAATGATCACTAGTAAGAATGAACTTTGGCATTGATGCCTTATTAACTATGTGACTTCCTAGTACTTTCTGTCTGTGGTTTATCTTTTTCACTTTCTTGAAATAGCTCATTAAGTAATAAAAGTACTTCAATTTCATGAAGTCTAATGTGTCACATTTTTTTCTCCGGTTGATTGTTTGCCTTCAGTGTCATAATAAGGAAGCTGTTGCCTAATACAAAGTCACAAATTCCACCAGAGTTACCTCAGAATTTTATTGTTTAGTTTCCACATTTATATATTTGTAATATTTTTGCTAAGTTTTTTACATGATGTGTGGCCTAGGCCTAACCTCATTCTTTCAATCCAGATGCAGAGTTTTCCCAGATCTAATTTTTACAAAGTTCATTCTTTCTCCATTGTGCTGTCTTGCTAATCTTGCCAAGTAGTAGGTAATCATAAATGTAACAGTTTGGGGTTAGAAATCTCAATTCTAATCCATCAGTAAACATACTCACGATTATACTACTACCAAACAATCTTGATCACAGTTTTGTATTTAAGACTTAAAATCAGCACTTGGGGTGCAGCCCAGTGGTAGAGGCCTTGCCTACTATGTGTAAGATTGCCTTGGATTTAATCCACATTACAGAGAAAAATGAAAATATTTTTAAAAACTTTAAATTGCATAGTATAGTCCTCTAGATTTAGTTTTTCTTTTTATAGATCATCTTGGTTATTTTCTATTTCTTGAGTTTTCATTTTAATTAAATGGTGAGATTGACAATTATGAAAAAGAAAAGAGAAGTTAGCTGAGATTTTGATACAGGTTGCACTGAATTTGCACATCGATTTTGGAAGTGTACATGTTTTAAGAGTATTAAGTTTTTCAACCCATAAAATAGGCATCTTTCCATTTTTTCAAGTCTTCTTTAATTTCATTTACATTGTTTTGAGGTATTCTGCGTATAAACTTGAGAATTCAGAGTAGCTCATCACAGAGAAAAATAGCTATAAAGTGGAAGGCTACCTGGCATTTTGTTCAAAATATCTAAATTCAAGCAAAATGGTCTATTAAATAATTTCAGGGTTTCCACTGACAAAATGAATAGAGCAATAGAGGAACAGGTGTCTGTCATCTGCAGACATATGAGAAAGTATGCAAAGGCCTGAGTTATGTAGGCTTATTCTGCCTAATAATTCAATGCTGAAATGTATGAGAAATCCCTAAATCTGTTAATTTCAGTATTTCCCAAGATTTTTCTTTTCTGAGAATCAGGACTTTTTATGAAAACCATTGACTCTGGACAATGGCTCATTGCATGATGCACACGGAAGCCAATACACTGCTTGCAGAATGAAAACCTCGTTGCGAGGTCAACTAACAAGAATCCAGGAGCAGCGAGCTCAGATCTGCCTCTTCCACAGGTTGGTAACAGGAGAATTTACGGGGACTCAGAGAGGAGAAGCTGCTTATTGATTTGTGAGAATAGAGAGTTTTAGAATTATTTTGTGAAGGCCTACTTGGTCATGTAATTTGCTCAAAGATTGTGCTTCTTTTTCAAGAGAAGTTATCATTTTCTGGGTAAGGAAAGAAGAAGAAGAAGATGGAGGAGGAGGAAGAGGAAGCACAGGATGACGAATCTGGGCAAATATATACACTTCCAGTTCATGCCCCCATGACCTATCTGTTCTGGTTATTCTCTTATATTTACCTACGATCTCATTTGTGGAGAAATCTACTGATGAGTATAGTAACCCTATGATCAAAGCACCTTCAAAAAGCTCCACCTCTGGATCTAGGAGACTTTTGGCAGACATTTTACATCTAAGGCATAAGAATCGTGTGAAAACCAGCTCATCCAATCAATGAACTTTTCATTTCAGAAGTTTAATGTCCTTTGTGCAGAACATGTTAACTCTCCTGAAAAAGGAACCTGTGATCTGTGAAAAGCATGGTGACCTCTGCACCTGGTAAAAGAACACTAAGCCCTCCCTTTCTCACTACCCAGTCATCAAACAACTTTTCTTCTCTCTTCCACTCCTCCTTCCCTACAAATTCCACTGCTTCCAAGAAACGCAGGAGACATCTCTGATGTTGCTGCTTCTGAACTCCGTGCTGGCTGGCTTTAGCACAAAGTTCTTTCTTTTTGCAAAGAGCAGTGAAATTTTACTGCGTTCTGTGTGCATCAGGTAGCAAACCTTTGCCTACCTCAATACCTGCTATTTTCATGGACAGGGTTCTGATTTCCACAAAGGCTGTCTGTGGAGTTCAATGACCTGGCAAGAACAAACCTACTTGTTCACTTTTTCATAAAACTGCATCTATCTTGGGTAAAATGATCGCACATAACTCATGCCTTTGCTTACTTTCTCCATTCCTCTACAGATGAAGAACTCTTGTCCCTGTATGGTGCTACTCCACTCTGCTCAAACAAATCCTGAATCTATTACATAGATCATTTTGTTTGAATTTATACAGTTTGAATATGCCTCAGGTATTCCTTAATTTTAAGGTAGTTCATGTTCTCTATGACTGCTTAGAAATTTTATTCATGTAAAAATCAGGCACTAATTAGATTTTATTTTATAGGGAAATTCTTAGGAGTTAAGGGAACCTATGGTATGAACGGCGACATCAAGTATAGATCAGTGGTTAGGTACATGGATTTAAAAGGCAAAATTTATACCACTCTTGGATCTCTTATAATGCTTTGGGATTTGGGCAATTTTTAACTTTTGTTCTGCAGTATTCTATATGTGCAGTGAAGATAAAAAGCCTGATGTGTTCAAACTTACACCGAATATGACAAAACGTCATAGAAACAAATTTTGAAAAATTTCAGAAAAACAGAAAGACTTTCATGTTTATGGGTTGAAAATTTTAAAATAATAACAGTTCAACATTTCTGAAAGAAAGAAGCAAATTAATGCAATCTGTATCAAAATGTTAACCACATTTTACATAACTGTCAATCTAATTTTATAATTAATATTGAAATGCAATGGAGAGAGAAGAGCCAAATAATCTTAAACAGAAAATGGCCAAAATAAAGAAAATAGTTATAGGCCTCATACTTCCAGACTTCAAAACCGTCCCCTCTTCCTTCTTTGTTCCTTTGTTCCTTCCTTTCTTTTCCTCTTCCTGTCTTCCATTTTATTTGCTATTGGGATTAATGGGATATTTATTAAGTTATATACATCAAATGGTAACAACAGATGATCTGGATTTTTATATTCACTTCTATTGAAAAAAATTCTGTATTTACTCTTACAAAAAAGTGAGCTATCTATAGGCTATATAGAGGAGACATATGTTATTCTGCATGACAAGGCCTTTGACAGATTTATCTTGCTGAGTTTAGGTCCCAGGAACACGTGCGTTTTAATACTTGCATAAATATTTTTATGCATTTAGTGTAGTGACAGCAGGTACCAGATAGCTGACCAACTGGTCCAGACCGTCTTTCATTTGAAGGTGCCCTACCATCAGTACTCGTAGGAATAAGAACTTCTGTATCTAAATTAGCATGCAGTAAAACAAGCAAGATGACCATTCACCCCTCTCAAATAAATCCTAAATACTCACTCCTGCATTATCTCCAATTCTGAGCTTTTTTAGAGTGATAAGTCTATGTTTATGTGTCCTTAAGCTCAACTTTTAAAATATGATACTTTCATTTCGTTTTCCTCATTCTCTATTTGTTTTCTTCTAAAGGACACTTCCTTGCACTTTGCCTACAGGGAAGGTTCTCATCCTCCCATTGTCTGTTCCTCCTCACCTAGCAGTTTGTCTCCTCCCCTGCACCTACCAAAGGATTTGCATATTGCTCTCAAGATCTTCTCTTCAGGTCTGAGATAAAAGCTCAGCTTTAACCTTGATTCCACTGATCAGGAGTCCTCAGTTCAGCTTCACACAATGAGGATCTCTGCTCATCTGCTGGGGCTACTAATGCTCTTCATCCCTGGTAAGCACAGGGGAGCTGGGGAAGGAGAATGCGGTCAAGGGTTGATATCTGGGGCCTCACTGATGCCCATGTGCGTTCTGTCCACATGTGAGCTCCGCAGGCCTTGCGCTCCCAGATGGGACACGTGAGGGACAAATCTGGAAGAGAGGAAAATTGCAGAAGGAGCAAGGGCCTGTGTTCTGGTGGCACCTGTGACTAAGGTGCAGTGGGATGATGTAGGTTATTTCCAAGTGTTGTTTTGTGTCTTGCATATTACTGTTTCTTTTTGAAATTGCTGTATACATATTTTAGGACCCAAATATAATTATGAATATCATTTAGCCTAAAATACCTAAAAAAAAGCATAAAAACTTCCATCTAAGGTTTGTATCTAACCTTCCCTTTTTCTCTCACTCATTTAGGATCCACAGGGGATGTTGTGATGACCCAGAGTCCACTCCCCTTGCCCATCACCCCTGGAGAGTCCACTTCCATCTCCTGCAGGTCCAGCCAGAGCCTCCTGCATAGCAATGGATATACCTATTTGTTTTGGTTCCTGCAAAAGCCAGGCCAGTCTCCAAGACGCTTGATCTATTTGGTTTCACACCGAGACTCTGGGGTCCCAGAGAGGTTCAGTGGCAGTGGGTCAGGGACAGATTTCACCCTGAAAATCAGCAGGGTGGAGGCTGAGGATGCTGGAGTTTATTACTGCATGCAAGCTACACATGTTCCTCCCACAGTGATACAGCCCCGAACATAAACCTCTCTGTGTGTTGTGGCCCAGCTGCCTGTGTGGATTGCTCATGTGGGGAGGAACACGGCAGTGCCTCAGAGTGTGTGTGAAACAGGAAGCCGATAGGCAACTCAGAACAAGAACTTGCAGCTGAGGAGTTCCATGGATGGCTCAGCTACACTCAGGCAAACCCCACAAAGTCCTGTCACCTGCAGCATTCTTGGCATGGTATATCAGGCAGAAAAAGAGTTATGATACAAGTACCTTCTGAACAGATGGACACCACTGCAGTGAGACCTGAATGAAATTTCAAGATAATCCTCCTGGAGTCTCAAAGACTGTCTTTTTGTAACAGTGAAAGATAATTTGACCAAACAAAAGAGTTCCAGCATCAGAATTTTCTGCTGAAATTCTGAGATTCTCTCAAAGAAATGCAACAGAATGTCTTTCAGAGTCCGTGTGATCGACCTCCAACACTCACTTTCACATTATGGCTTATCGCCCTCACCCAGCAGGAAATTTATACCCTTTGCCGCTGCTGAGACCTGTAGCAGATCCCTTGGTGAGAGGGAAACTATAGCAATGGAAACAGAAATCTCAGAATTGATAAGTATTTATCTGGGTCCCTGTTTCCCCTATACATCCTGTTATGGAAACAGACTGCAAAGTAGTGTATGATAAAATGGATTGCAAAGAAAACACACATTAGAAAGAACTGAAAGTAAAAAAAAAAAAAATCATAGAATAGTTCCTTGTAGTCTGATCCAGTCACTGGTGGGTATCAGGAAGACCAGGATCAAAGTTCTCCTCATCTAGCTCAGAGAAAGTCCAAAACCTGCAGGTTTCTCTCAGGCCAGTGGTCCAGGTGTAGGAGATCTGCAAATCAGACTCACATTTGCTGATGTCTACAGTTATATCCTGCGTTTAGAGTGAGCATTGCTGTGTTTTCTAACTTCCCAGATGATCCCCAGATGAGGACCCAATCTGTCAGTGAAGGAAACAGACAAGGAGATACTGTGATTTAGTTTTATGCTTCCCGTCTTTTCTGTGAAAAGACTTTTCATAGTGCTATTCTTGTCTTATTCCAACACCATGTATACATTGCCTGTACATTTATTTCTTCAAAAGACAAGTCAGACAAAATTTCTCCTGTGAAATCTGGCTGGTCCTTCTCTGGTACCCTCCTTCTACCTTCTGGTTTCTTTTAATAACCTGTCTTTTCAGATAATTATAAGAAAGAATTCTATTCATTAGTCAAATCAGAAATGGATCAATTTGAAAAACACTTACTGTGAGAAATAAGTGTCATTTAAAAAAATTTGTTGGTTTGCCTTTATTGAGACTGGGTCAAATTATGCAGTTCGGGCATTCCTTGAACTCACTATGTGGACCAGGTTGGCCACGAACTTGCAGTGATTCCTGCCTCCAACTGCCAAGTGCCGGGAATCTAGGCATGTACCACCACACCTAGTGAGGTGCCGTGTTTTTGTGGCCACATGTTCTTCATTAGAAGCCCCAGAATTTCAGATTCTTAGTAATCATGTCTCAGATTTGTTGAGTATAGCATGGCACCAATAATGTCTCCACCTCCCAAGTTAGAGATAGTTTAGAAACTATGTAATTGTCTATTAGATTTCAAAAATATATAAGTGATAGGTGATACTATGCACTTGTCCAAATAAATACTTAGTAACAGTTGTCCACTGGTGGACACCTCTACAATTTAATAAATTACATCACTTCTTGCCTTTCTGCACACTATCAATGTTCCAGTCATAAATGGTGACCAGGGAAACATTTGACATTTCAGAGTGAACACAATATATTCATTCAATAATCTTCATTGCAGAAGAGGCTTTACATAGAAATGTATTTTGAAAGAAAATAAAAATAGAATAAGACAATGTTTCTATCTTTTCTGCCAGTATAACAAAATATCACAGAATGCCTAATTTATAATAGATAGAAATTTATTTCTTACCGGTCTGTAGGACTAGAAGTCCAAGAACAAGAAACATGCAGATTCTGTCTAGTGAGAGCTTGGATTCTCTGCCTCCAAATGGTGATTTGTGCCTTCCTAGCTAACATGGCAGAAGGTAGAATGGTAAAAATGAGTGAAATTAATGCGGTGTTCCCACATAGCCAGGACATCCAGGACCAGCAAGCTCTTTGAAACCTTTCTTATAAAGGCACAAGTTGCATTTACAGTGGCAAATAGCTCAGGACATAATCACTTTCAGAAATTTCCTAAGCCCTAATGTTATTACTGTAGAGTTTAAATTTTGACATAATTTTATGAGGGGCACAAACATTTAAACTACAGAAGGTAGAGATAGAATATCTCTAATGTAGTCATTTCATGGCCGAAAAAGAAGCGAATGATAAACATAGTTGGCCTGGGTACCTTTGTCTTGTTATCCTTATCAAAATGCTGTCATGAGTCATATTAATTTATTGTCACCAGCAATACAATATTTTGACTTTATGTAACTCCTGATATGATGATACAACATGCCTTCAGTAACAGTTCTTCCAAAAATTAAAAATCAAAATCCAATCAATAAAAGCATAAAGCAAACCAAATTAAAGTGACAGTGTGCAAAGCAATTGGTCCATATACTTCAAAAGTTTCAAGACTATCAACAAAAATTAAAGAACACAGATTGCAAGAGACCAAAGAGGCACATAGACTAAATACAATATTGGAACCTGAGGTGTTTTACCTGAAATATGGTAGAAAAGTCTGTTAAATTTAAATATGGATATTAATTAGATAATAGCATAGGATCAACATTAATTTTAAAGTTGTTTCAAGTGCTGAATAGAAAAAAATGAAAATAAAATACTATAGTCAGGGAAATCCTTCAAAAATAAAGGAAAAATGAGAATATTCTTTGACACAAAAGGAAAAACTATTAAGAGGAGACATATAAAAAAAAAAATCAAGAGGCAACTGCTCAGAATCATGGGACATGGTAGCAACAGTGACCTGAACTGGATGGAACACAGTTCCCAGAATACAATAAGTGGAGATAGAAACCAGAAATATTTTTAAAATTCTTACCTCAATTCACAAAATGTTTAGTAAAGGAAAAGCAAGCCATTGTGATTGACATCAGAGGGACAGGTCATTTGCAAAGAAGCAGAGCAGGTGGAGCCCGGGCAGGTGAATGGCAGGAGAGGTGGGGGATCTCACAGATTTATCCGAATTGAGAACAGGGGCACAGCTTCATTCAAGTGAGACCTTATAATTTCCACCCAATCCTCCCTGTCTGCTCTCAACTGAAAAGGAAAGAGAGCAGACAACGCCCATTGAAACGCATATGAACAAAAAAGAAATTCATCACATATATACGTAAACTGAAGCACATAAAGATATGTGTAAACTGTGCTGTGAAAATTTTGAGGGAGTATTTAGTTGGCAGTGAGCAGAAAGACACATGGAGATATGCACCTTCTCCCGACCACTCTTAGCTTGTGAAGTTCAGCAGAGATTTTATGTCTCTTGTCTCACAGAAGAGGACTCCAGTCCCTGTCAGCTTTGCCTCACAGCTGCACTCAGCTGAGCACATTTTACTGAAAAATGGCCTGGCTGCTTCCCTTGAAGCCCATAAGTTGAGAAGAAAATAGAGTTTTAATTTTGTAACAAGCTACTGGGAGAAAGGAGGAAGTGAGTCCAAACTGACTCCTTCCACAAGTGTGTCTCTTGATTTTTATACCAGGAATAAACTGCTTTCATAAACATGAACAAAGTAAGTCACTAATTGAAGCATTAACCACCTGAGGTCTCTTTCCAGGATGTGTGTCTCTCTTAGGTGTTCCCGTCTGTTTTCATTTTGAAGCACTCTAGTTTTCAACAACACAAATGCCTAAGCGTGTTATGTGCAAGAAGTCACCACTGAGGCTCCAGTTGGCTTCTCTATGGGCTCTAAGGCCTGTCCCGGGATAGAAAAGGTTTCTGGGGCGGCTGGGGATTTAGCTCAGCGGCACAGCGCTTGCCTGGCAAGTGCAAGGTCATGAGTTCGGTTCCCGGTACCGGAAAACCGCCCCCACACACAAAAAGAAAAGATTTCTGGGGATGACTTTGGCAAGAGATATAAATTCATTGATATTTACATAAATCCAAGCAGCCGGTAACTAGAAATAAGCACCACAGCCACAGGTGGTTTTGTTCTGCAACAGATTTTCATACTGTCCCCTGGGAGGAGCTGTACTTGCACAGCTGAGATAAAAGCTGTAATTGCATATTTCTCTTAAGATCTTCTCTTCAGGTTGGAAATAAAAGCTCAGCTCTATCCTTGCTTCAACTGGTCAGGAGTCCTCAGTTCAGCTTCACACAATGAAGCTCCCTGCTCAGCTGCTGGGGCTGCGAGTGCTCTGCATCCCTGGTAAGGACAGGGGAGATGGGGGAGGGGAATGGGGTCGGGGGTGAACTTGGACCCCACTGCTGCCCATTCGTATTCTGTCCAAGTGTGAGCTTCACAGGTCTTACGCTCCCAGATGGGGCATGTGAAGGACAAATCTGGGAGAGGAAAATTTCAGAAGGAGCAAGGGCCTGTGCTCTGGTGACACCTGTGACTAAGGTGTAGGGGGATGGTGTAGGTGATTTCCAGGTGTTCCGTTGTGTCTTGCATATTACTATTCATTTTTGCAATTATTGTGTATATATTATATGTCCCCAAAATTCATGAGTGTCATTTAGCCTATAATACCTAATAAAAGGGAAACTAGAAAATTCCTCTTAAAGTTTGTTTCTAACTTGTCATTTTTCTCTCACTAATTTAGGATCCACAGGAGATGTTGTGATGACCCAGACTCCACTCTCCTTGTCCATCACACTTGTTTTTTTTTTTTTTTTTTTTGGTTTTTCTCCGGTACCGGGAACCGAACTCACGACCTTGCGCTTGCCAAGCAGGCGCTTTTGCCGCTGAGCTAAATCCCCAGCCCCTTGTCCATCACACTTGGAGAGTCAGTGTCCATCTCCTTCAGGTCCAGTCAGAGCCTCCTCCATAGCAATGGAAACACCTATTTGTTTTGGTTCCTGCAGAAGCCAGGCCAGTCTCCCAGGGGCCTGATGTAGTTGGTGTCTGATCGGTACACTGGGGTCTCAGACAGGTTCAGTGGCAGTGGGTCAGGGACAGACTTCACCCTGAAAATCAGCAGGGTGGTGGCTGAGGATGTCGGAGTTTATTATTGCATGCAAGGTATAGAAGATCCTCCCACTGTGACACAGCCCCGAACACAAACCTCCCTGCTTGCTGTGGCCCAGCTCCTTCTGTGGGTGGCTTCACTGCAGAGCAGCACATCTGATGCTCTGTTCCTATGTGTGGAAAAGGAGCTGATAGGGAACTCAAAACAAAAACTTGCAGCTGAGGTTTCTGTACCATCGTTGTCACAATGACACTCAGGCAAACCCCATTAAAGACCTTATTACCTGGACCAGCTTTGGCATGGCATATATGGCCAGATTTGTGGTCCATGTATCTTTTGCACAAATGAACAGGGCTGCAGTAGGACCTGAATGTAATGTCAAGCTAATCTTCCTAGCATTGTTTGTTTTTCTTAATACTCAGTTTAATGATCATGCAGTTAATGCAGATTTGGACAATGCCAGTACAATATATCTCCAAGTGTAACAATTTTTATATAATTCTGGAAGGATAATATTTGGGAACATTCACAAAGTTGAATTTTTCCACTTTCCCCAGGACTTCTTTATCCTTTTTACTACATATGATTTTTATTAGTACACATGGCAGGAATAACATTCCACAGGCCCACCTCAGTGGGCAAGGTGTACGGACAATTGGTGCAAACCTTAGTCTTTGAATCTGCAAAGAAACTTCTGTAAGTTTATAGAAAATAGAAGGTTCTAATGCTGAAACTCTTTCCCTTGTTCAAATTATCTGTGCTGTTAGAAACATGAAATCTTTAAAATTCCAGAAGCTCATAATTGTAAAAATGTAACATAAACATTTAGTTTATAGTATTAACTTATAGTATTTACTTTATATATCATCAGCATAACACACAATGGTATGAAATCATTTTTTCCCCAAAAGTTCAGCATTTAAATTCTGAAGCAGTGTGGTAGGAATATATCAGAGGGTAACTAAAGTGAAGTAAGGTGATATTTGGTTGTCTTTGATTCAATGTCATAAGCAAATGATTGTTGGAGAATGATGACATGGACTATGAAAGACATTCAGTTACATTTTTTCTGAAGAATCTCATAATCGAAGGAGTCATTAGCTGCATTCCTTGATGGAGACATGGTCCACCAAGATTCAAAGGAATCTGAGTCATGAAGGAATATTTTAGGTCTGCAACCATGAAATTTTATTGCATATTTATGCAAAAAGCTGAAGATAAGTGACTGAATCCAAGTTGAAAACATAGCCAAGTGGCTGTTCCGAAAGACATGGTACAGCAGAGAAACATGAATTATTTGGAGAATAACTATCATGCAGCAGCGTGCTGACCTAAGTCCCAGTAGGCCCTATGTCAACAAAGGAGCAGACAAGAGAATAATATCCATCCCTTGGACATATATTAAGATCTTTGTGTAGAAAGACAAAATACTAAAAACCAAGATAAACAAAAAGTAAGAGCAACAACCACCAAATCCAATGTTGGGACTATGGGAAAATTTCTGCTTTTTTAGGAAGACACCCATGGGTTCAAGTGATGAGTCCACAGCAAATGTCCAAGGGCAAGCACTCCGACTGCACTAGAGTTTGCCCTGTTAGATGTGGTCTCCTTTTCTGAGGGTGGTCATCTGTCCCCATCCAGGCAGCCATTCTGACAAACACAGCAAGAGAACAAAAATCTAGTGAACATCAGCTCAGTCTGAAAGTTTCCTATCTAGCAGCCAGGGATATAGCTCAGTGGCTCATGTGCCTGCCTGGCCAGTGCAAGGTCCTGAGTTTGATTCCTCGTACCAAAAGCAAACGAACAAACAAAAAAAGTCTGCCTGAAAGTTTCCTATCTAGAGCTTCAGATGTTTTATGTGCTTCTCATTTTTTAATTTTCCAGTTTTATTTTAGCCCTTCAACTTCTAAAACATTGGACCAGGGGATGGAGATGCCTTTTAGTTTTTTAAAATAAATAACATTTCAGAGATGGCATTTTGACATTAAATTGTCTTTCAAAGAATGAAAGGTTTTCAAATAAGAAATGAATGCATTATTTTAACATGATGGGGTCATTAAATGAAAACAACTGCCTTTTTCTGTAGAAGTAATTGTTTAGAAAACATGGTTTAGATGGATTTCACTTAAAAATAATGATCTACACATATTTCTGTACTAATAATAGCCAAGGCAGTTGCTTGTGTTGATACAGTATGATCAAAGTAAAGGGATGTAGGAATCAATAGGTAAACATACCTTGTTTTGGGCTGAGAAAATAACTACAGCATAGCTGATGGTGCTAAGATAATAGATTCCATGTGAAGTACAATTAAAATTGGATTCCTAAACAGAAATTCTAAAGAAATACAAGAAAAAATGTTGCACAGTAAAAAAAAATTATAACACACACAAGGAATGAAAGACTTCAGGACACTCACAGGACTCTGAACAGTGTAAGGCCCCACACACAAACCCCCTGGGATGGTTAGCCTCTCAGTCTGCAGGGGCAGCTCTGGGCTCTGAGGAGAAGTGGAAGCCAGCTTGAACTCCAGGGAGACAGCTGCAGAGCCTCTGAAGAGGAGACCGCAGAGGCCTCAGTCATAGGGACTGTGTCCTACAGAGACTGGGGTTGACTTGGAGCCTCTTTCTAGCTCTCCACTGAGGGCTTAAGCTCCACAGGACCTCCAGGGGGTGACTGTCACATCCTCCCTGAAGCTGTACCTGAGGTTCCCTGCTGACCTCATGGCCCAAGGACTCTCAATAAGGTCACTGTGAGGAGAACCTAGTGCATTCTGACATCACCAGCAGTCACTTGATCCCTTCAGAACTCTTTCTTCTGCCTTTGGCAAATGTCTGGTCCAATCACCAACCATAAGAACCTGGAAAGATACTTGAGTTATACACTGTTTGGCATCTGAGCAAATGAAAATACTCAGGAGTTTTACATATGTGCAAAATAAAATAATAGTGTATAATTCTATTTAACTTCCCTTTTGCTTCTAGATCTTATAAATATCACTTAACACTGTCCTGGATTGATAAGAGAAAATTATTTTGAAAAAAGAATCAATTCGATTCATCAAGATTTAATGACTACAAATTGAGTCAATTTATCAAACAATAATTATATATACATACATATATAT